ACCTCCATGCTCTAGTTCCTCCCTGCCCTTATCTAACAAGCTTGGAAGCAAGAGTGGCATCCATTTCCAGAATAGCTGGCCTCCAGAAACTCTATGATCTTTGAGAAACAAAAATGACACAAGTGTTCAGGTCTTTCATTCACAGTATCGCTATAAGTCCTCTACGACTTGATGGCACTTAACAACAGCAATCTAAGTGAGGAAACATTTCCATGTAGTTATATGGCACCCACTGCTTTTCATTTTCACTGTCCTTAGGTTTTGGCATGATTGTTTATTGTCTCTACTCCTCCCACCACAATACACTAGCACCTTGCAGACATGGTCTGTGATTTGTGTCACTTAGGATAACCACAACATAAAGAACGTCCACTAAATTAAAAAGTAGGATTGATGACCAAAGGTATGTTTTATGCTGAACCGTCTCCCTTCTCTGTTGTTATTGTTCTTGTTGTGTGCCATCAAGTAACTTGCGACTCATAGCAACCCTGTGTACAAGAGCCCTAAACACCGCTCTATCTTGTGCCAACCTCGCCATCTCCAACACACTCACTCCCACAACCCCAATCAGAGAATTGATCCATCTCATTGAGGGTCTTCCTCTCCTGCGCCCTCCTTTACTCTCCCAAACATGATGATCCTCTCCAAGGACCAGTCCCTCCTTACAACATGCCCAAAGTATGTCAGATGAAGCTTCAGAATCCTTGACTCCAAGGAGAATTCTGGCTTCACCCTCTCCAGGACAAACCTGTTTGTTCTCCTAGCAGTTCATGATATATTCAACACTCTTCTCCAGCACCACAGCTCAACAGCATCAATTGTCTTTCTATCATCCCTAGTCACTGTTCAACTCTCCGATACATAGCACGTAATTGCAAAGACTAGAGCCTGGATCAGGTGCACCTTAGTCTCCAGCCTTACATTATTGCTCTTGAGTACACTTGAGAGGTCCCTCACAGCTGACTTTCCCAATGCAATTCATCTCCTGATTTCCTGGCTGATGTTACCATGAGTGTTGATTGACTGTGGAGCCAAGTAAACTAAAACTGTTAACTATCTCAATCTCTTCACCATCCATACTGATGTTCCCTTCCTTTGAAGAGAAAAAAAAAAGTATACTCTTAGCAGACTAAATCTTGCATAGTTTATGCAACTCACAAATTCCTCAAAAAATGAAGAGATGCTCTATGAAGAATGATTTACTTATTGTTTTCTCTTCCCAAAGGAAAGTTAGTTGGTGTAGCAGAAAATAAGGTATCTTAGAAATCTTATACTACAGTTGTTTCTTACAAGGCAAGTGGCATGCTTGAAGTCACATTTTCACCTAAGAAATTGAGATCGTTTCGTCTATGTTTACTATCTTTTAAAACAGGTGCAAGGATCAAGTAAGTTAACAGGAATGAAGTACGAAAGTACCGACAAAACTTTAAATTATTATATTAAAGATATTAAGAGGCTAAATAATTAAAATACATGTGCTTCAGTTATGTAGAATTTACTACTTCTTTGCTTTCAAGTTTGAGGAATGCACTTTATAGACAAGTTTTTGTTCATCATTCTCACAGTCAATCCTTAGTCTATTTTGATCTATAAAACCGTGATCTATTTAGTTAGCATTGTCACCATTATATAATTATCATGATCAAATATGAAACACTAATAGTGCTTTAGGTTCAAATCTCCTTTATGTTTCCTTTGGGAAGGAGTCTGAATTCAGTTTGAAGGGAGTAATTTCTAAATGCCTATTTCAAATACTTTTAACATGACCTACAATAATAAAGCTCCTTGATGGATCAGAAGCATAAACTTAACATGAACTTTCAGATTCTTTGCTACATTCTAGCATGTGAGAAAACACACTAAAGACTCTCTCTGATCTTGTACTTGCATTTTTTCCCCTTTACTATGATGTGGCACAATAAACAGCAGCAGTTAAGAAATAAAAAGATGTGTTGCATTGGGAAAATCCACTGTCAAGAACATTTACAAAGTGTTAGAGAACAAGGACATCAGTTTAAAGAATAAGGTACACCTGACTCAAGCCATGATATCTTCAATTGCTTCCTGTGTATTTGAAAGCTGGGCAATAAATAAGAAAGGCAGGAGAACTGATGCCTTTGATTTGTGGCGTCGACAAAGAGTATTGAATATACCATGGACTGCCAAAAGAACAAATAAATCTCTATTGAAGGAAGTGTAGCCAGAGTGCTCCTTAGAGGCAAGGATGATGAAATTGTCTCACTTTGGGCTCATTTTCAGGAGGAACCAGTCCATGGAGAGAGGTAAAAGGAGAGAAAATAGAGCATTAGTGAAAGAGGAAGACTCTAACAAGGTGGATTGACACAATGACTACCACCGTGGGCTTGAGCGCGACAGATTGTGAGGGCCGTGCAGAATAGCACAAGGTTCAGGTCTTGATCGTAGAGTCGCTATGAGTTATAGTTGACTCAATAGCACTTCAAAACAGCAATGATATAGCACAAAGAGTGGCAGAAAATCTACACTCTAATACTGCATATAAGCAATGAAAGTTATGGAAGTGTTCAGATCTTTTGTTCATAGAGTCATAGAGTCTATGACTCAATGTCACTTAACAACAACAATGAGAGAACTCTGTTGGCCTAGTGGATAGAAAGTTATGCTATGAAGACAAAGGTGGGTGATTTTAATCTGCGGCCTTCAGGCCTGGTTTTAATTGGTTTTTGGTCAGACATTCTTGTAAGTGGTATAGCACTGGTCTGTCCATTTGCTGTACAGAGGTAACTCATGGTTGCTGTGAAGCTGAACACTCTGACTCTGGTGTATCAAATATGATAATGGTTACCCACGGTGGACAATGTTTGGTGGAGCTCCCCAATTAAAATAAGCTTGGAAACAGGAGTGGCCTCCACTTCCGAAATAGCTTGCCTCTGGAAACTCTATGAACTTGGAGAAACTACGAAAGTTATACAAGTGTTCAGGTCTTTTGTTCATATGGTCACTGTGAGTTGTCTACGACTCAACGGCACTAAACAACAACAACAACATCATGTAATGATGTGAATCTAGATTCTCTGGCAACCAGATGATTTGATAGCATTCTACTAGCTAAAATTTGGGATTACTAGTACTTTAAATTGTCATGAGTCAATAATTTTGACTCTAAAATGTTTATCACATTTAATAAGTACTCAAAGGTATCCTCTCATCTATTGTTTATAAATGACACAGAAACTTTAGAGGTTCAATATTGTTGGGGGGAGGGAGATCTCTCCAGTATCATTGCAAAGATCTTGGTGCACACAAATTCAAGATGACACAAAAGTAGTTCCTTTTTAAAAGAAAGAGAGAAAAAGTAGTCCCAACCCAACCACTTGAAGTGTGATAATTCATTAGTTGAAAACATACTTTCTCAAGTGTCTACAAGCCAAAGCAATAATTCAACAGTTACAAATTGCTTTCTGTCCATCTCACGCTATAGAAATTTCACACTCTCCTTCACACCAATCACAATTCTTCTCTTGAAAATAAGTTATTTGAACAATTCCATTACTGAAATGTCGAGTAACCCTTTTTTGCTTCAAAGAAGTACACAGAAACAATTCTGAATCACTGGTTCACCCCTACTACCCTGAGTGACATAGGTTTTGTGACTAGAATTCAACAACACAAACAGAGAGAAATTTTGGCACCAATATTTTGTTTATCCCTAAATTCTGTAATTTTCACCAGAAAGTACACTTGTTTTCTAAAACATAATTTTAGTTTTTCTATTATTAGGTTAAACACCTTAAATATTATTCCATAAAGGTTTAGCAATGTAAAATAATAGGACTGCATGGTGCTAATTAACACAATTATTTTGTCATTATTTAATTTCTTTATATTCATGGATCTCAACAATAAAATTTTTTAAAAATCTAAAATCCTTTTCTTTTACAACATGCCATGCAAGACTTACAGTAAAATAACAAGTATTTCCTCTCCATATTTGTATTCTTTATCAATCACATTTTGCCTCTAAGTTCATCTCTCACCAGACCCCAGTATCACTCACTCCTTCCTTATAATACCCATGCATTTTTATAAGCAGTATATCATGTAAATCAATCTCCAGAACTTTCAACATGACCTATCTGTTCTGTATTTCTTTTCCTTTGTTTGCTGTTTCTGTCAGCTAGTATGTACTTTCTCCTCTTTTTTTGCCAGTTCAAATCCTTCAGTTAAGAGGTTTATTGCTTCTAAGAAGCACAGAATGCTCTACTGAATCTAACACTCATCTTAGCCTTACTTTTAATATTCTTGTTAGTTAACTATGCATAATTTGTACCCCATTAGTTTGGATTTCTTTAGTTGTCTCATTCTGATTCTGGGTGCTCCTAGGGGTATGAAGTGGGCATTTTTTTACATAGATATTAAACTCCTCAACCTAGAAAACATGCCTTTCTCTGTCTCCCCATTCTATCTGGGACATGCTACACTCAAACAGACACTCAAAAACTCAAACTCCACTGCTGTGGAGTTCCAACTCATAATGACTGTGCTATGGGTTTCCATAAAGAGAGAAGACTGCCCGTCTTTCAACCACAGAACCAATGATGGGTTCAAACTTCAGGAAAGGTGGTGCCTTTGAGTTAACAATATAACTTTCCATAGATGATGCCAAGAAATAATGCTCCCTAGACACTATTGTTGTTGTGTATACCATCATGTAGGACCTGACTCATAGCTGACTTTCCAGCAGGTTTTCATAGCGTTTAAATCACAGGGGAGGAGATTGCCCATTGGAATTGAACCACATGCCTTAAGACTGACAGTGCAAGTTCTTAACCACAGTCCACGAGCAGTCCCTGCCTTGACACTAGGCTTTTTAAACATAGGCTTGAGTGAATAAGAGGCAAAAAGCAATCAGCCATTCATTGCTTAAGATATTATGCTATTTCAAAGATGCCAGAGGCATTACTTTTTAGCAACCTGGTTTTACTGTGTGTTGTATGTTGTTTTGTTTTGTTTATACTCACCGGAACAGAAACTTGGGGATTGTTAGCAAGTTTTCCCAACACAGCAAAGCCATCAACATTGATTTGGCCTCTTGGCTTTATAGGTAAGGCTTCAATTCTGTTACAGTCAAGAAAGAGAGTAACACTATTCCTCTCCACACCAATCATGAGCTTATGCCACTGAGAGTCAAACAAGGAGGGCAGGCTGGAAAAGGTTGCTGTTTGAAGACCTCCATCCAGTCCCTTGTATGAAAATGCAACAGATTTTGTTTGGCCATTAATCTTCACTCCAACCTCCTCTTTCCCAGAGGAATCCTGAATCTGCCAAATGTTCCAGTTCTTTTCAAGTGTGCTTCCAGTCATCCGAAAAGTAGTTAAAAAGGAGTATTCTTCAGGCAGTCCACGGGGATATAAGCGCCTGAGTAGAATTTTAAAACAAACAAACAAACAAAAAATAAATACGGTTTTCTGTACTAATCAGATTTTGCATATTTCCTTATATGGTGTTTTAGATTCAAGGCAGACAGAATAGCCACAGTGTAAACAACTTCACAATTTTTTATTTCATGCCTGTTCATCAAGGCCTTCACAAAGTTGCAATCATTCATTTATGTTAGGTTTCCATCTTAAAATACACACCAAAAATCTTCATGGCTCAAGAAAGTTCCCAGCATGTATAATCTCAACAATATTACTATTTATGCTATCCCAAAGAGCTACTGTGCAGTAATTTCAACTCAGCCAAAAGCCACATTCTTCCAAAATTCTTGGCAACACTGGCCACAAGTAAGAGAACGGTCGCTTGAAATCCAAGTCAGCTCTACTAGTTTATGAAACCATTTAATTGACTAGTTATTCTTTTTTCACTCTAACAGATGAGAGATATTTTCCATTTGCATAACTGCCTATATTCTCAATTATATCCTAAACCGACAGAAACATTTTTAGAATTCACACAGTGGATGTTTGTCTTTTTCAGGGACTTCAAAGTGTAATGTTAAAGTAGTAGCTAGCTACTTGTCAATGGATGCGTGACAAAGGAAAGCTGGTCACTTCCTCTTTCATTACTCCAACCCAGTTGTCCCTAAACTATCTTATAAATGCCTATCATGACTATTTCCTTCCTGCTTTAAACAGTATTATGAGGCTGTCAGTGTCCCTTAGGCATCTCCTGAGGGGGAGCACAATATTTAGATCTTCCCTGACTACCTAGAACTTTTTCTGTTGGAATCAAACTGCTAAAAGCTAAAGATTGAACTCTAAAACTGAGCACTATTAGATGTAGACATGATATTTCAAGACATTAAAGTGATTTTTCTTCTACTTTCCTCTTTCTGAACATAGAAAAATTGCTCAGCAAGAAAGAAATACTAGGAAAACGAGATACAAGTTTATTTTGAATGAGATATATATATATATATATATATATATATATATATATATATATACAACCTGCATCATGCAGATGACAAAAGCTTTCTTGTAGAAAGTGAAGAAAACTTGAGGGACTTACACAGATAATCAGATTATAGCTTTAAATATGGATTGCAATAGACAGTTATCTAATAGAGAAAAGATTGAAGTTGTCAGTGATTTCATTTTACTTAGAACCACAATCAACACACTTGATACTAGCAGTCAAGATTTCAAAAGAAGTATTGCACTGGGAAAGTCTGCTGCCAAGGACCTTTCCAAAGTCCTAAAGAGCAAGGATATCAGTTGATAGATTATTAAGGTGCATGTAATCCAAGCCATAGTATTTTAGGTTGCTTCCTATATATCTTAATGTTGAATAAAGATGACTGATGAAGAATTAATACCTTTCAACTGTGGTGTTGGCAAAGTGTTTTGAATATCCCATGGATTGCCAAAAGAACAGATAAATCTATCCTGGAGGAAGTACAGCTAGGGGTTCTTGTTAGACGCAAGGATAGTGAAATTCCATCTCATATACTTTGAACATGTTGTCAAAAGGGGCCAGTCCTTGAGAAAATATATTATGCTAGGAAAGCTGGAGGCTCTGAGAAAGAGGAAAAACTTTAACCAAATAGATTGACACAGTGACTGCAACAATTGACTTGAGCATGGTAGAGATTGTAAGGATGGTACAGGATAGAGCCAGGTTTCAATTTGTTGTTCCTAGGTTTACTTTCAAGTTGGGCCAAGAAATCTGGAGAACAGCCAGTTGGCCCACTGACTGGAAAAGATCGATATTTGTTCCCGTCCCAAAGAAAGGTGACCCAACAGAGTGTGGGAATTATCGAACAACATCATTGATATCACATACAAGCAAGATTCTGCTGAAAATTATCCAAAAACGTTTGGAACAATATGTCAATAGAGAACTGCCAGATGTGCAGGCTGGATTTAGAAGAGGTCGTGGTACTAGGGAGATTATAGCTAATGTTAGATGGATCTTAACAGAAAGCAAGAATACCAGAAGAATGTCTATCTGTGCTTCATTGACTATGCAAAGGCTTTTGACTGTGTGGATCACAATAAGCTGTGGCTGACTCTGAGAAGAATGGGAATCCCAGAACATTTGATTGTGCTAATAAGAAACTTATACTTGGACCAAGAGGCAGTTGTCTGAACAGAGCAAAGAGACACTACATAGTTCAAAATCAAAAAGGGAGTTCATCAGGGATGTATTCTGTCTCCATACCTTTTCAATCTGTATGCAGAACAGATCATCCGAGACTTTGGGCTATACGAAGAGGAATGTGGCATCAGGATTGGTGGAAGAATCATCAACAACCTGCGTTATGCAGATGACACAACTCTGCTTGCTGAAACTGAGGAGGACCTGAAGTGCTTGCTTCAGAAGATCAAGGACTACAGCCGCCTATATGGACTGAAGCTCAACATCAAGAAAACAAAGATTCTAACCACTGGGCCAATTGGCAGCATCAGTATGGATGGTGAAGAGATTGAGATAGTTGACAGTTTTAGTTCACTTGGCTCCACAGTCAACACTCTTGGTAACAGCAGCCAGAAAATCAAGAGACGAATTGCATTGGGGAAGTCGGCTGTGAAGGACCTCTCAAGAGTACTGAAGAGCAATAATGTCAGGCTGGAGACTAAGGTGCGCCTGATCTGGGCTATAGTCTTCGCAATTATGTGTTATGCATCAGAGAGTTGGACAGTGAATAGGGTTGATAGAAAGAGAATTGATGCCTTTGAGCTGTGGTGCTGGAGAAGAGTGTTGAATATACCATGGACTGCTAGGAGAACAAACAGGTTTGTCCTGGAGAGGGTGAAGCCAGAATGTTCTCTGGAGTCAAGGATTCTGAAACTTCGTCTGACATATTTTGGGCATGTTGCAAGGAGGCACTGGTCCTTGGAGAGGGACATCATGATTGGCAGAGTGGAGGGGCGGCGAAGGAGAGAAAGACCTTTGATGAGATGGATCGATTCTGTGACTAGAGAGGTAGGAATAAGTGCATTTGAGATGGCTAGGTTGGCACAGGCTAGAAGAGCGTATAGAGCTCTTGTACATAGGGTCGCTATGAGTTGCAAGCGACTCGATGGCACATAACAACAACAACAACAGGTTTACTTTGAACCATAGTCAACTTGATGATACATAACAACAACAAATATGTAACACAATTTGAAATTTCTAAGAAAAGGTGTGGATCAAGATCAAGATTCATCACACCAAACTCCAGACACGTAGTTCTTTTCTTGTAAAGAAGAGAGAGAAAGGGGAAACAAACTAACTGGATTCCAATTTCATTTGTTTTACATACTAAAATGATTAACAAAGAACCCTATGGTAGTTGCATATATACTGCTATCCAGCATGCCACAAATTTTTGGATTAAAAAATTTCAAAACAGATAAGTATTTCACTTCAAGAATATTAGCTAATAAATAAGCTACTCAACTTGCTAAGATTTTTAATCTTTCCTCAAACTTCCTTTAATTTTAAAACTTTTTATCATTGCCTTTAGCGGCATAAACGAGCATAAATCTATACATAGGGGTTTTTTTTTACTTTTGTTTGCTTATTTGTTTTGCAATATCCAAAACACTTTATTTCAGATCTGGGAGAGCAGTGAGATTCATCTCAAAAACTGCTTCCTATACATTTTTTTTTCTGCAATTATTCCTACAACAGTCCAATAAAATGGGCTAATCATCTTGAATTTGTGTTAGCTTTCTAAAAATAACAGAAAAAAATGAAATAGTTTCATCTGATGTTGTAACTCCATCCATATCTTCCTTTTTAGCCATTATTTTCAAATATGATTTTTGTTTGTGTTTATAGTGCTGAATGAATTATTTTATCAGGACATAGTTTTAAATGATCACATGCTATGCATTATTCTTCATGTAAATTCTCAATTTACTAAGTATATCTATTGTTATAGGAGTTTTAACAAGTACATTTAAAAATACTATATTTGGAACTCAAGAATAAAATAGACATTCAAAATATAAACTGTCTACTATATCTTTTGAGATATATCACTTTAACTTAATGCTGCCATAATTAGGGGGTATGTAACTGGGTAAATCTGAGAAGCCAGGCTTCATTCTGTCAGGTCCACACTGTAAGCCATCAGGACACTCATATCCCACTAATTACATTAGAATCTACATTACCTCACTTCCGTTACCTTTTTTGAATGCCTGAAATTCTGTACTTGTAAATATGCTATGCACATCCATAAGCAAACTTGACAGCATGAATAATTTAAAAGCAGCTTGGCCTATAAATGTTTTATTTCATTATATTACAATCTGCACAGAGTACTTTAAAAAGAGAATCACAAGAGTTTGAATAAAAGATCAAAATTCTTTGAACCTTGAAACGTGTGTATGACCTTATGCTACAAAAAACCCCTAAAGACTCTGTTCGGGAAGGCAAACAAACAAAACATGCATGTAGGTGGGAGTTGAGAGTGTAAACCTATTCTCCCTAAATATAAAAAGCAACAAAAGGTTTATCTCTTGTAATTAATCTTTTAAAAAATTAAGACAATAATAACCTGTGACTCACATACTTAATAGTTTCATAGACCCTCCTGTCTCTCCCACAAGAATTCTGCTAACTATTTTGCTTCCTCAGTATATGCATTTTCAGCACAGAAGCTGCTTTTAAACTTATTTAGGCTAATAATCCCTCTACGGTCTAAAAACCATCACAAGCACTTCTCTACTCCCTTTTGAGCGAGTAGGAGTTAGGAGCCTGCTTGGTTCCACAATCAACACTCTTGGCACCACAGTCAGGAAATTAAAAGATGAATTATATTGGGTAAAATCTCCAGTCAGGGGCTTCTCCAGAGCACTGAAGAACAACAATGTCAGTCTAGAGACTAAGGTGTACCTGATCCAGGCCATGGTCTTCACAATTACTTGCTATGCATTAGAGAGCTGGATGATGACTAAGGATGGCAGAAGAATAAGAATTTAAGTCACTTGCCCAAGAATGAATTTCACTGCCCTTTGGGACCCCATCCACCTCAGACTTCACTCTCCTTTTTTAACTTCTTTGCCATACTTCTTTCTTCTGCATCATCACACTTTATTCGTCTCTTAATAAATCTTGCTAAACAAGGGTTCTAGTCTTTGAGGGACAAGGAGTCAAAATAATAGAGAATGTGACACATTGACTACAGCTTGTAACAATATTTAGTGGTAACTCTGGATGGTTAAAGAAAACAATAACAGCAAAGATGAGCAGAAAGAGGGTTATATGGCCTCAAGTTGATCAGTGTCTGAACTTAGTGTTCATTTTTAACCAAACTGTACACCATATTCTAGAAAACTGGGGACGCATTGGTGGGCTTATGTTTAATTATTAAAGAAAGAAAAATAAGATGGAGAGGAGATTGAAACTGTCAACAGTTAGCACCCTTGGTACAAGCAGTCAAGAAATAAGGAGATGCAGGGAGCTCTGGTGGCCTAGTGGCAAGAAGCTGCACTGCAATCCCAGAGGTACACGGTTCGAATCCACCAGATGCTCTGCTGGAGAAGGAGGAGCAATATCCTCCTGTACCAGTCAGATCTGATTTGATGGTACACGCACACGAAATAATAAAAAAATAAGAAATAAGGAGATGCATAGCAGTGTTAAAATCTGCATTTAGGGACCTTTCCAAAGTAGTGATGTCAGTTTGAGAACTAAGGTGCATCTGATTCAGACCATAGTCTTTCTGATTACTAGCTATGCATCCAAGACCTGGACAATGAATAAGGATGACAGAAAAAGAATTGACACCTTTGAGCTGTGGTATTGGAGAAGAGCACTGAACATCCATCCCATGGACAGCCAAGAAAATTAACAGATGTGTCTTGGAGAGGGTGCATCCAGCATGCTCTTTGGAGGCAAGAATGAGGCCAGTGGGCTTTACCTCACATATTTTGGATATGTTGCTAGGAGGAACTATTCCTTGCATAAGGACATGGGTAGAGGGTCGGCGAATGAGAGGAAGACCCTCAACCAGTTGAACTAATACAGCGACTGCTGTGTGTGTCAGGAAGTGGGAGGATAGAATAGGATAGAACAGTGCTCACATATTTTATTGATAGGGTCACTATAAGTTGTGCTTGGCTAGACAGCACCTAACAACAACAACAACATAGTGTTCTACTACTAGTACTTCTTTATATAAAAAATTAAAATATGTCTATGTGAAAGGATCAATGTGGAGTGGTGGTTAGAAGCACAGCCTCCACAGCAATTCTGTCTGGGTTTCAATCCTCTCAGTATCTTCCAGCCTGCTTTACACAAATTTAAACCTTCTGGGCTCTAGTGTCTTGTCCATAAAAAAAAAAAAGATTGAAATATTTTTACCTAGTAGCACTGTGATGCAGATGAGACTATTCAATGTCAACTGGTAAATGTATAGAACAATCTTATAAATGTATATGTTATTCACTGACATTATTTTCTAAAGTACTGTGTGTCTAAGAAGCAGAATTTCTATGTATAGGCCAGCGCTACATTATATCAGATTCCTCTTACTAATAAGAATGGGTTTTTATTATAAATATTTAGAGTTTCCATAATATTGTTGTTGTTTACTGTCAAGTCAGAACCAACTCATAGCTGACTCTCCAGAGGATTTTCAGAGGCAATTAATTGCAAAGGAGAAGATTGACCATTTTTCTCCCACAGAGAAGCTGGTTGACTCAAACTGCGCGCCTTCGGGATTGCAGCACAGCTTCTTGCCAGTAGGCCAAAAGTGCTCCCATTAGTGTCCTAATTAATCATGCTCATACTCATTGTCATTGAGTTGGAACCAATTCATAGCTGACCCTCCAGCAGGTTTCAGAGGCTATAAATCACACAAGAGGGGACTGTCCATTTTTTCCAGAAATTCTACTGGTGGATTCACACCATGTGGTGCCTTGTGGTGGACGTGTAAGTCTTTACTCATGAGACCACCGGAGCTCACTTCTAATTAATCAATATTTACATTGTTTGGAGTCACCGGTTTTAATGGACTAAAAGGACCTGTGTACATAGGTACTCCTTGTCAACCCTGGGCTGGTGACCAGATAATCCTGAAAGGGAAGGCCCACCTCTAAACCCTGCAGAGCCGGCACCCTGGGCCTGGGTCCAGACACTTTCTGAAGCATTTGGTCTCACTGCCTTTGAAGAGGTGGAGGATGGTGGGAAGTCCCTTAAAACCTCATGTTTTCTACCAGGGCAAGGCCCACTGGCCGCTGTCCCATAGTTATGGAATAGTATTTTCCTTAACAAAAAGCTCTAGTAGCACAGTAGTTAAGCATTTGAGTGTTAATGAAATTTCTGGAGTTTAAACCCACCAATAGTTCCATAGGAGGAAGCTGTGGCAGTTTGCTCCCATAAAAGACTCCAGCTTTGGAAACTTTATGAGGCAGTTCTGCTGTCCTACAAGGTTGCTGTGAGTCAGAATCAGCTCAGTGGCAACAGATTTTATTTTCATTAAAATGGGTGACCCTGGAGGATATTATGCTGAGTGAAATATCTCAGTCACAAAAAGACAAATACTGCATAGTGCCACTGTTGTAGAACGGAACTGACATCAGTGTTGGGGTAAGACTGTAAAAAAAAAAACTGGATAAATTACATATACCGCATTAAAACAGATGAGGAAGAGAACAGTTTAAAAGTGATATATGATAGGGTATTATGGTTATGACAAGAGTCCAAAATGAAGGTTGCATGGTGGAGTATACTCAGGGCAGGGGGATTTTATCTCAATGAAGGAATTTTTCTTTTACTTTTCAAAGAGAAGAGAGAACTGGGGTTGAGGGGTGGCCAGGGAGAAAAATGCAACAATGAATGAATGGAAATCCAAAATCTGTGTAAATGTTCATTACAATAAATTAAATATTTTTTAAAAGTCCATTTTAATAGCAACAAAAGTTAATTTCTATCAAAGCCCCAGAGTCCTTGTTACTCTGCCAAAGGAATGTTAATTCTATATTTGATGGCAGTGCATTAAATCGTAAGTTACCTTTCAATAACATAATCATATATTGGGCATTAAGATAATATAAAAACTAACACCCTGAAACTCATTCATAACAGTCACAAGACTCAACACTTACACATAGACTCAAATACTTCAGTTATAAATAATTTAAGGGATGAAAGGCTTAGTTCCAGAGAAGCAGCTATATGAAGTGGAGGATTATTTTTTCGTTATCTCCGCCATTGTTTCTGCTGTCATTGCCCAAGCTTTTCTTTTGTTAGGTCCTTGTCAAGAGTCAAGCACTGGGCTTGTGGTCTTATTTCAGCACCAGAGCACATGAACAGCACCATTGTGAGTCTTCTAACCACTCTGTGGCTTCTAGTTAAATTTATGCTTAACCTCTGGCACTTTTTACAGTGGTTCCTTTCAGTTAAAACCAGACAAATTATAGAGAAACAGACAGCAAGGTAGTAAGAACATGTCCTGTATCAATGTATAATAGTCTCAGTTATTTTTCTCTCCCTGAAATATAAATTACACACTGAAATATGAAGTGCATTTACATATTCAAGCATTGAAGATAGGTAAGTAATTAAATTCCTTCATCTTTATATTTTTAATGGCCCAAGAAAGAAATATTGAGCCTAAACAGATTTTCTGGAATTGAATGGTTCTCTTAAAATTAGAGGCAAAATAATCAGTAAAGTATTTCCAATAAATGATAGATTACCTGGTTGGAATCCTGAAGTCGACATTACTTCCCAACTTGTAGGCGACTTGTAATGCAGTCGAGCCCACTACCCTCTGGATAGTTCTTCTAGATGCTGCTTTATCTACTTGGAACTGAGAAATCAGATCAAACCCTATGGGAATGGAACATAAAAGTCCATAATGAGATTGGCTTAGTTCTTTTCTACAACTTTTCCAAATACAAAAATAAATAAAACTCATGCATTTCCATGTTATATCACTGCTTGCCTGGTAAGTCATCTTGGCCAATCCTGACCTTAGGGCAGAGTTCATCTTCACCATCGGAATTCAAATTGACAGGGAACCCTGTGAAAGAGATAGAATGTTATTCTCCATCATCGGCTGCAGGGATTGTGGGATGTGCCTATCATAATCAAAACTGAGTGACTATTTAAAAATACAGTCTTATGCCAAAGAAGGAAGTTCTGGTGACCTAGTGAGTATGGAATTGTGCTGCCAACTCAAAGGCAGGTGGTTCCAATCCATCAGCTGCTCTAAGGGAGAAAGAAGGGGAATCTTCTCCCATGTGATTTACTGCCCCCTGAAAACTCACTGGAGAGCTTGCTATGAGTTACTTCCAAACTCAATGGAGAGAATCCCATACAATTAGCTTATGAGTATATAGCTTTAATTCTATGACTCTAATGTTATAATTCACTAATGACTCATCCTGAAGGAGTTGCTTTAATAATTTATGCTGGGGAAAATATTTCTTTTAAGGAAGTTAGATATTTATTCCTCCTGGAACCAGACCTGTACAATGTCCTGAATGACACAGTGTCTGAAACCTGTTTGGAAAACATTTGGTGGTTTGGGCTAGAAAATATTCCTTGAGCTTCACAGATTTTAGAATTCCAGACGGAATCCAGAGCCAGCCTTGAACCAAGGAGCTGCTGAATCCACTAATCATAAATAATGTAGAGAGGTTGCATTCATTTCACTCCAAAAGCTCAAATAAGGGTGCTGGGTAGACTATCCCTACCAACCTAGAATCTAGAAAAGCATTGAAAAGGAAAAAAAAATAATCAGAAGATTAGATCCCCAATTTGATACAAAATTCTGGAATGAATTTGAGAATTTGTTAAACAAATAGAAGGTAATAGGAAAAGGCAGTTTTTCACCACTACAAAGGACTTCTTGTATCTTGTCCATCTCCACGACCCTTGCTCAGGCTTCCCTCACCGCAAAGACACTTCAAACCAAAACCCAAACCCACTACCCTTAAGTAGAATTCCAACTCTTGGTTACCCTCCACTGGGCTTCTGAAGTTGTAGATTTTTATGGAATAAGGCTATCCCATCTTTCTCCTTATTCAACTGGTGGGTTCAAACTACCAAACTTTCTGTTGGTAGCCCAACATGTAATGTACTACACTAACAGGGCTCCTTCAAAGATTTTCTTTCCTTTCCTCCCTCTCTATCTCTCCCTTCTTCTCTCTCTCATATTGGCATCCTGTCAGAGCCAAGAAGGAGCTAACCCCCCTGGGTTTTTAGAGGTTATAAATCACACAGGAGGAAGGTGCTCATCTTTCTCTAGGCAAAGACTCCTTGTTATTGTTGCTTTAAACCATCAAACCACAGCTAACCCTATGACAGATTTTAAGAGGCAGTTAATTGTATAAGAAGGCAATTGCCCATCTTTCTCCTGAGGACCAGCTGGAGACCTCGAACTACGTGCCTTTGGGATTACAGCACAGCTTCTTGCCACTAGGCCACACACCTTAGGACTCAAGAAAAAGTGTTTTCTGATTACAAAGCTTTGTCCCTGCCATCCCAGAATACCTGGCCAAATGAATGGCATCTCTCTCTCCATTCACTCATCCATTCATCCATCTATCCATGTAGTCACACAACATTTACCAGTCACCACTCAAATCCAGCCCTTCACTAGACTCTCAACAGCACAGAGATTAATCTTCTTACCCCCTGTGATTACACATCAGTGTTTTCTCTCTGTATCCAGCATTCATGTCAGAAAACTTGCCCCTAAAACAGACTCACAGCTGGACCTAGGAGTGAGGCTATGAAGAACTGGAGATGTTATAGTCTCTTAAACATCCTTAGGAATGAGTGATATTTTGAAATCTAAAAGTATTGCCCTTACTTGGGCGACGCTTGACAGTCGCAGATGCCCAGGGTCCCAGGAAACTACATATAAACAAAAAAACTGGAACTTTCCTGAAAAGAAGAGGAGAAAAAAAAATACCTTCAATAAGAATCCTTCTAATTGGAGACTACAATTATATTTTTTAATCAGTAAATGTAAATTATCAAAGTCCAATATATTTTTTCTATTTTTACTTTGAAATCTTCCTGAAAGCTTTAATGAATTTGTCTCCAGCTCCCACTCTCTTTGTTCTTTTTTTCTACCTCATATCTGCTGTCTTTGTTGAAGTTGCTGTATATGCATACTCTTCCCTCCATCTTCTTTTCTCTTTGTTTTTCTGCCTATATCATTGCCTGTCTCTTTTTCCAGTTTCTTTCTTTTATCTTTGTTTCTCTCCTGTATCACTCACAGTTTCTCTCTTCTGTCCTCATCCCCCACACCACTGGGAAAACTGAGAACTTTTGTTCTCAGGTCCCCACCCTGCCAGGCCAGTCTCCCCACCATTCTCTTCAGTGGCACCTTCTTACCAGCAGATCTTCATTTTCCCAGTTGGTTTTCTTTTGATGACAACAGTCCCTATGGAGAAGGGGCTGGAGGGGATTTGGTGCCCCCCAAGACCCCTTCACTGCCACCCCAGGACTGATGGGCCTGCTTGGATTCCTCCTGCCCCTATGAGGTCCAAAAGCAAAAAGAGCAAACCTGAGGCAAGTGATGCCATTTTAAACAGAAGCTGAGGAAAGGGGTGGAGAGAGGCTGCCCGGTAAGCCCCAGCCCAGCCAGGGGTGTGTCCCCAAAACTAACAAAATGACACTGAAAGAGGGATTAGCAGAGGAAACTTTGCTGAAAAGGGGGAGGGGGGAAAGGCAGGATGTGGGGAAATTCACCAGAAGGATTCAGGCAAACTGCTATAGGAATACAGGGGGACCTTTGAAAAGGGCTATAGGAATACAGTGAGTGCTTTGAGAGGACTGAGGTGAGCCGAGAGATGTGGAAATTCATGGGAGTCTTGGGTCCAATCAATCTAAGTTTGCATATACTGTTTGTTCTGAAGCTTACTCGGTGTGAGCTCTTTTACACGTTAGTTAGACTCTTTGTAACTCTGGTGATACAATTGCAAAATAGAGGGGGAAACGGTTACCCCAAACAACTACTTTGAGTGTTAAAAGAGACAACAAAGGGGAAACATTTAAGGCTTTCTTCAGAATAGTCACCATGGTCATGGTTATTATAGCTATATTGTCTGCACTCCTCAGTTGCAAATTCTTTTTTTTTAATTCTTGAAGCTTCAATTAATTCTCACAACAACACTACAAAGTTAAGTGATAAATTATCTCTTTTTTACAGATGGGAAAACTAGGACACGGAAAATGAGCTTGCTCCAAGTAGAACGGTCGTTGGCTTACTATGTGTGAGTGCTCTGTACCTCAAGGCTGGGAATCTGGATAAAGTGCAAGACCAACACATACCTCCTTCTCTGTTCTAACTTCTTTTTAAACTCTGAGATTACAAGAGCTGAAAAAAATATTCATGGAAATGAGTGACACATTGTTCTCCACAAATAAGATGAGCAAGTAACAAGAGGCACTAACTTGGATATGTTCCTATCCGAGGATTGGTCCCTTCTTACAACATGTTCAAAGTATGTCAAACAAAACTTCAGAATCCTTGCCTTCAAGGAGCAATTTGTTTTCACCCTCTCCAGGATGAACCTGTTTGTTCTCTTAGCAGTCATGGTATACAATACTCTTCTCCAGCACCATGGCTTAAAGGCATCAATTCTCCTTCTATTATTTCTAGTCATTGTCTAGCTCTCTAATGCATAGCAAGTGATTGCAAAGACCATGGCCTGTATCAGGTGCATCTTAGTTTCAGATTGACATCATTGCTCTTCAGTACTTTGGAGAGGTCTCTGACAGCAGGTGTGCCTAATCTAGGCCATGGAATTCTCAATTACTTATTATGCTTCAGAGAGTTGGGCAATGACTAAGGATGACAGAAGAATAGATGCATTCAAGCTGTGGTGCTAGAGAAGAGTCTTGAACTGTCTTGGAGAGGGTGAAACCAAGAATCTCCTTGGAGGCTAGGATTTTAAAGCTCTGCCTCTCTTACTTTGGGCACGTGGTTAGGAGAAAACAGTCCTTGGAAAAAGACATCATGCTCGGAAGAGTGGATGGACAGCACAGGAGAGTGAGACCTCAGATGAGATGGATTGATACAGTAACTGGGGCAATGGGGGTGGTGTGTCAAAATTAGTGAGACTGGCTGAGGACAGAGGAGGATTTAGAGCTGATCTTTATACATTGCAGGCTACTCAAAGGCACATAACAATATGACAGGTTTGGAAACAGGAGTGGCATCCACTTCCTAAATAACATGCTTCCCGAAACTCTATGAACATTGATAAATGTGGAAAGCTTGTAGAGGGGCTTCAGGCCTTTTGTTCATAGGGTCTCTATGAGTCGTACTCAACTCAAAAGCAATCAATAACAACAACAACTGACTGCAGAGTTTCCCAATGCAATACGTCTTTTAATTCCCTGGCTGCTGGTGCCAAGAGTGTTGATGGTGGAGCCAAGAAAACTAAAGCTGTTAACAATCTCAATGTCTTCACCATCTATCATTATGCTGCCAGTCGGCCCAGTGATGAGAATCTTTGTTTTCTTGATGTTGAGCTTCAATCCATATTGAAGGCTGCAGTCCTTGATCTTCTGCAGCAAGTGCTTCAAGTCCTCCACAGTTTTAGCAAACAGAGTTGTGTCATCTGCATAACGCAGTTTGTTGATGAATCTTCCTCCAATCCTGATGCCACATTTCTCTTCATACAGCCCAGCCTTCTGAATAATCTGTTCTGCATATAGAATAAAAACATATGGAGATAGGAAACATCCCTGGCCTACACCCTTCCAAGTTTTGAACCAGCCAACCTATTAGAGTTTTATTTCAGTCTTACAAAGGAAAATTCATATCCTCATTCTGTTTAGAACTTTTCAGAAGATATTGGCATTCTCTTTATATATCAGAGTTGCCAATTACAAGGGTAGCCATTAGTATACATTATACCTTAATATAAAGTAAACAAAAATCCTCACCACTAGACCAATGATAAATGGAGAAAAGATTGAATTTGTTGTCAACAATTTTTAATTTTACTTCATCCAAAATCAACACTCGTGATAGGCAAAGTTAGAAAATAAAAAGATGTGTACATAATGGAATACAATGCAACATTCAGGAGCAATGATTTCATAAAATACTACATCCCAAGGGAGAAGCTAGGGAGCATTATGCTTAGTGAAATCAATCTCACAAGGACAAATACTATTTAAGATCATTATTGTAAAAATAGAAGAATAACTGATAGCAGGTGTATAAATGTACAGTGAGAGAGGAGTAGGGCAGCTGGATGGATGGGGGAGGAACAACAGGGTTGCAGAGTTTGGTGGGGAAAGGAAGCAGATGAAGGAATTAGGAAAGATCCAGTGAGGGTCTGAAAAGATGAGGTAACACTGGGCGTAGATAAATGGTGATTGATTTTATAAGACATAATGTATGGAAATGATTGTATGAAACACAATGTGAATGAAAGAATAAAAAAAGAAAAGACATGTACATTGGGAAAATTTACTGTCTTGAACCTCTTCAAAGTACTAAAATGAGAGAATGTCAGTTAAAGACTAAGGGGCATGCACACCTAGGTTTATTGCAGCTTTGTTCACAATAGCAAAGAGATGGAAACAACTCAAGTGCCCATCAACAAATGAATGGATAGAGGAGCTGTGGTATATTCACATGATGGAATATTATGCAGCACTGAAAAACAAGGAACTCATAAAATATGATACCAAATGGGTGACCCTGGAGGACATTATGCTGAGTGAAATATCTTGGTCACAAAAGGACTGTTACAAGGGTTCCAGTTTCTCCACAACCTCACCAACATTTCTTGTTTGCTGCTCTGTTAAATTTTGCTATACTTACTGGGGTGAGATGATATCTCATAGCTGTTTTAATTTGCATCTCTCTTAGAGCTAGTGATTTTGAACATTTCTTCATGTGTGTGTTTGCCATCTGAGTGTCTTCTTTGATGAAGTGTCTGTTCATATCCTGTGTCTATTTTGCAATTGGGTTGTTTATCTTCTCATGGTGTTCAAGTATTCTATAAATTCTATATATACGTCCCTTATCAGACATGCCATTACCCTTGTTCACTGTTGGTGGGAGTGTAAAATGGTGCAATCACTATGGGAGGCAGTATGGCACTTTCTCAAAAAGTTGCACAAAGAAATACCATTTGACCCAGCAATTCCATTACTGGGAATATACCCTAAAGGAACCATAACCACCACCCAGACAGATATATGTACACCCATGTTTATTGCTGCTTTGTTCAAAATAGCAAAGAGTTGGAAATAGCCCAAGCGTCTGCAACAAATGATTAGATAGAGACATTGTGGTATAGTCACACAATGGAATATTATGCAGCACTGAAAAACAAAGAACTCATGAAATATTATACCAAAAAGGTGACCATGGAGGACATTATGCTGAGTGAAATATCTCAATCACAAAAAAGACAAATACTGTATAATGCCACTGTTAATAGAACAGGACTGATATGGGGGTTGGGGTAAAACTAAGAAAAGAGGCGGTAAATAATGTACACGACATTGAAACAGATGAGGGAGAGAACTGTATAAAAGGAATATATGATTAGGTAATATTGGCATAACAAGAGTCTAGAATAAGAGTTACATAATAAAGTGGTGGAGGGGGGAGTGAACTAGCAGGGGTGGGGGGGATTGGGAGGAAAATGTGCAACAATGAAAGAATTTTTTTTCAAAGAGAAAAGCAAAGGGGGGAGGGTAGGAAGGAAAATGTGCAACAATGGATGAATGGAAATCCAAGTTCTCTAGAAACTTTCATTAAAATCTCAATGAAAATAATAATTAAAAAAAGACTAAGGTGCACCTGGCCCAAGCCATGGTATTTTCAATTGCTTCATAAGCATGTGAGAGTTGAATAATGATTAAGAAATACTGTGGAATTGGTGTCTTCGAATTGAACAATGTTGAAGAGTGTTGAATAGCTCATGGACTGCCAAAACACCAGATCTGCCTTGGAGGGCATGCATCCAGGATGGTCCTTAGAGGAAGGGTGGTGAAACTTCAATTCACGTACTTTAGGCAAGTTAGCAGGAAGGTGCCACTCCTTGGAGAAGGCTAACAAGCTAGAAAAGATGGAAGGTCAGAGAAAAGAGAGGGAGATCCTCAGGGAAATGGATCGACAAAGTGATTCCATTCAGCAATGGTCTTAAGCCCAGCAGAGATAGTGAGCATTGTCAGAATTCAGCAGGATTTCAATCTATTTTACATAGAATTGCTCTTAATTGGAGTCTGTGCTATAGCGCCTGACACTAACAGGGCAGCCATGTTAGTAAGAACAGAACTAGTAACTCTCACAGCCTACCTAGTTCTTTTTAAAGCTTTTAAATCAGAGTTTGCTTAAATGGAGCAGTTTATTATCCTCTAATAATAAAACCTCAGAGGAGGAATTGTATTACCGGGGACCTTCCAGACATCCTCGAGTCATGTACGCTAAGCCAGCTAGATCCACCAGGGGACAAACATTTTCCAGAGAATAGGCTCTTTATTTATAGACCTCTTTATTATAGAAAAGGTCTTTATTTGCA